AGGTGACAAAATGTACTTCATTCACTGCAACAGAATTCATATATATATGAAGTCAGCATTTGCTTTTGTACCAAACTAATGAGAATTATATATATTACTTAAGAATGGTACGAAATACAAGATATGTTTAGACTCATTTGAATGGTTCATGATAATTAATTATGTATTGATCTAAATTATTAAGTTCTCTATGTTATGAACCATACTTATGGTCAAATTGACTTATATATATACATTTGTTCTTGAGTAGTTATGAAGTTTAAAAAGGATTTTATGACAGAAGAATATTACCCAAATGCAATGACAATCATGACACATTTAAATTACTGACAAGGTAATTCTTTTCATGCTGTTAAGTCACATTACTATGTTTAGGTTTCCGTCAAAGGCTGTCACACTTCCAAAAGTGACATGTTAAGATTCCTTAGTAGAATTGGTCCTCAGCTGCCATGTTTGTCTGTGTGACTTGACTGATGACTGACTTGATTGACGAATGTCAATCCCAGTTGTGTAGATCAATGCTTGTGATGTCAATCATTTGATTGACTGGTCCAGGTTTGGTTATCTAATCACCGTCATCTAGCCAAATACACAGTTCACAGATCTTGACAAAGAAAATAGATCAGTGATTTGCCTTGGTTTTTACTTCATGAAAGGTCAGGCAACATTTCTCAGGCAGGAATCTCATTAAATGTCCTGCTCAAAAGAATTTAAGCACACCTGATGCTTTCAAATTACTATAGATTGTCTGTTATGGCATGAGAGGTCACTGGTGGTCAAATCATGTATGTCGCAGTTCGCTGTGTCAGTGCCATCTGTGATCATGGACTTCATCAAAGTTGTAAACATAAAGCCCCGCCTTACTTAGACCTTCCTTATTCCGTTACTGGAATATAACCCGTGAACCCTGGTTAGAATATTGATCTTCAGCAACCCATGCTTGTGGTAAGAGGCGACTAACGGGATCGGGTGGTCAGGCTCGCTGACTTGTTTGACACATGTCATCGGTTCCCAGTTGCACAGATTGATGCTCATGCTGTTGATCACTGGATTGTCTGGTTCAGACTTGATTATTTACAGACCGCCGCCATATAGCTGGAATATTGCTGAGTGCGGCATAAAACTAAACCCACTCACTCACTCTAACTGGAATCCTGTTAAAACCAATTTAGTCACTGACACAACTTAACAGATTATTTATAGTCCTATGAAATACTCAGGTGTTCCTTATCTTCCTTTGACTGGTGTAGACGACTGTTGAATTTGAATTTTCTGCACCTTTGCTGATCTGCGCTGACCATTCTGAAAGTGTTCATGTTGGAAATAGATTTGCTAAGATGTGAATAACACCACTTGGTTGGAGGCGTATGTTTCAACAGTTCATTAAGATTTTAATAAAAAACACTTTCTGAAACACTTCATGAAAACCTAACAATCTATTTATTGTTTCTTCTTAATACAAACCCGTTACAAATGCCTACCCCATGTCTTTTTTGTCTAAACCTGTATCAAGCATAATTTGGGAAACCAGGTTTGTCCCATTTTCCACCAGCGAGTGATAGAAATTATTTCATCATTAACTGTGTATGAAAACTTCTTATTCAATTATGGAGGTTTATTGGTAATATCTAACATTTTTGCAAATTCTAGTTTGTCTTTATTTATTCTGGATATATTTCCAGCTTTTGAACCGGTTACTTTTGTCAGATTCCACTTTAAGTACTGTTACAGGATGAGAGTCTTACATCCTGTAGGATATAGAAATCATCAACATATATATGTTGCTCCTAATAATTCAGAGAGGTATCCTTCATATAAATGATATTTTTTCCAGGATGTATAGTTATCTGAGTTCACTGAGGTGTTGGTCAAGAAGAAGCTGTTGCTATTTTTGTAGAGGGTATTTTTGTCAAAGTGACCATTTCCGTCCTCACGATAAATCCACCCCAAGCTGTCCATGAATAGCTGCTATCTTACATGTGTGTTTTGTGGTGTCTTGGATGTGTTTGTGATGAATGATGATGACTGAATATTGGGCATAAAATTGGAATAAACATTGAAAAAAAACGTTAGCGTTTTGTTATTAATATGAAACAAGACATAATCTATATATGTGCATGTTTGGAATTTTTTGAGGAAGATATGTATTCTAGGGCACTACGGCTAGATGAACAACTGACCATTCAAATTAGCCCTCTTATATATTCACATACCCTTAGATTTGCCCCATCTCAGTTTGGCACTAAGGCTTAGTGCCCAACAGAGATGGGGCAAATGTACATCACAGCATGTGACGTCATGTATTGTAGCATCACGTCATTGCATTCCAGAATGACGTCATACTCTTCCAGAGAATGTCTGTCTTTGTGACATTTCGGCACACTCCGGCGCAGTGATGACTTAGCATAACATCACTGCCACAGGCTAATTTGCATATCACGTGACCGGACTTTTTCTCTTGTTTGTAAACAAACGCACATATTCATAATAAGAAGAGACCGGCTTTACGCAAGTTTTCGGAGCGCCCTTCACAGTGTTTTACATTGTTATATTCTTCCCCAACTGCGACAGTAACATTTATGACAGTACATATTTAGATATCAAACTGGTTGCATCGTTTGATCCCTGTCGGCTTCGATGACAGCACGTGGAGCCGTACAGCCGATGTAAACAAAGGATCGCTACGCAAATCGAAATAGTGTTCACGTTTTAGGATATTTTCTCAGTGCAACTAAATCATTCTATCAAAGATGTTTAGTTAGATGTGTAGTCTCGTCAAAAATAAAAGAGTTAAGAAACATGTACGTTATATTGAAAGGACGGTACAATATGTGACGAATCGTCACATCTTTCTGGCCTGTGGCAGAGGTACTACTGGCCGCATGGAACTCTGGGTAGGAGAGTGACATTTCGTATGTTGGAAAGTGTTTGGGAAAATTACTAAAAATATCTTTTACAATGTCGGTAAACATAATGTGTTTCCAAATTAGTGTTCGATTGAGTATTTCGTTACCCTAATTCTTGTCCTTAGGCAGGCGCTGTCGATTCAAGTGGGCGTGAGTGATAAGAAACGATAGATTAACGTTAAGCACAAATTAAATTCCTTTCGGAAAATAAATAGAGAATCATGTTGAGGAATTAGGTCGGTGATAAGGTATCAGTTAATTTTTACACACTACGTTCATGGACATATTACGCTAGGCTAAAATGTGAATAGTTTTATAGTACCGATTGAGGCCAATTTGTATTTTCAAGTCAAATCTGGGCAACCCCTGAAATACGCCTTATAAATACACTAATACACCCTAGGGCAAAATTACTTGAAGGATAAAGCATTAGCATTTGTCCTACAGACACCCAACTGTCTCACTGGGTTGTCACTGTCTTGTGAAAACCCGTAGATAGTATGGATTATAGCTAAAACACATGGAATTATCATGAAACGGCCCTCCCATTATCAGTAATTTGCGGGCCGCTGCAAATGATATTGGACCGCTCAACCTTAACGACGGGCCACTATCAGTTCTGTTGTCAAGTGACAGTTAATGGAAGACCGCGGGCTTCTGCAAATGATAATGCCCCCCAAAATAGCATTACCCTTATAATAGCCCAGGATAGCATGACGTCACAACGATTGATGGGTCACTTGCTTGTTACGTCACAACTTACGATGCACGATAAGTACCCAGCTGCAGCTAACATCACATAACTGGGCCTGTTCTGGCATCGTTCTGGGTGCCGTTCCACTAACCGATCTTAGCCCTACGCCAATCGTAAACCCATAAAATCCCAATCTTAGCGTGACGTTACGATCGGCATACCGTTCCACTAACCAATCTTACCTAAGTCAATCGTAAAGTTAAGATTCAAAGTCTAAGTTGCTCATGACCAACTTAGGATAGCTAAAATCAATCGCAGAGAAACCAAAATGGTGGCTTTCCTATTCTATGTGAAAAATAAGAGCGAGCATTTCACCGTGAGCGTCCCCTAAAATCCCCCATGAAATGAATTTGTATATTTCTGTGATGTAAACAAACACTGCACTGAAGCCTTACAAATGTCAGGCCAGTCTGACCACTGTCGTCATGGGAACACAACCGAGCGAGTCGGTGTAACACATTTGTATTGTACAACAATATTGCAACGTCATGGTTAAGAGTAGGGACAGCCGTGAAGTGAACAATGTTCTGAAACAAAAAGATACAAATATGTTTGATTCACTGCGCATATTTGGTGGGGGATTCTAAAGGCAGACCGCGTGTTATTCAGGCACATATTAAAAGCTCTGACACAATTGACATTTTTAAAGTCCAGACTTAAAACCTGTTATCAGTTTATTACTTACAATCTCGGCTGTAAATGCTCTCGTGTAAATTATCTGTACATGGCGCTTTGAGCATGCCCAAGGATGTGGAATAGGCGCACTATAAATATGCATTTATTATTATTATATTATGCCTGATACCCAGCGTTCACACGCACTTGCACCTGAAACCAAGGTGCTCACTACCCTAATATTTTGCTCCAGCCTTTTTCTCCACGTTTACACTTGGTTGGAAAAATACCAATGAAGGCCCGGGTTAGAATATTGAACTTCAATAACCCATGCTTGTCGTAAGAGGCCACTAACGGGATCGGGTGGTCAGGCTCGCTGACTTGGTTGACACATGTCATCGGCTCCCAACTGCGCAGATCGATGCTCATGCTGTTGATCACTGGATTGTCTGGTCCAGACTCGATTATTTATAGCTAAGATACATAGCGTTAACTAACATGAACGCTCATGTTAGTGAACGCTATGCATCTTAGTTAGATTATTTACAGACCGCCGCCATATAGCTGGACTATTGCTGAGTGCGGCGTAAATCTAAACTCACTCACTCACTCAGTTGGTTCTTAAACTACTTCCATCACTTGCTAGACTATGCAAAGGGAGAAAACTCGTGCCTCGCATTCCTCTATCTCTTGCACGAAAGAGTCTCGATCCAAGCTTGGATCGGATCGTAAGATCGGGACCGGCTACAATCGGCCTAAAATCGGTTAGATGGAACGGGTGTAACTTTGAGCTAAGACGATTGTAAAATTCGCGTAACTTGCTAAGATTGATCTTAGATAAGATCGGTTAGTGGAACGGCACCCTGGCCTGTACCATTGGTACTGGCATAATGAACGACAGTATAGGGCCAGAACTGGACCGATGCTTGTTTTCCGTTAGTGACACATTACAGACAAAACTGTACTGGGCCACATATGGGTGGTTACCGTAAATACTGCACCGCAATACTGTACCGGCCCAGTACTGGCCCAGTACAGACAGTGCACTTCCTGTCTGGTGAATTGTGGGGGATTACCTCAGGACCATGTCGTCTGCTCAAGAGAGGTAGCCAAAAGGTAGAGTGTGACATTTTCCACATTTCTGAATGTAGATTGACTTAATGTGACACTAAAAAGTAACGGTATTTGTTGTGTAAAACTTATGGAGGCTACTTTTTCAACTAAGGTTTAGTGTTGAGCTAAATTTTGAACAATAACATGCAGTATGAATTTCGCTGGAACAAGGGCATTTTGAAACATTTAGTATGTATGTCTTGTTGTAAGATCATGGAAATCCGGTTGAAAACGTAAATTCAATGTATGGCCTAGATTATAGCATTGTTTGATAATCATATCATACTGGACAAAATGTCGGAAAGATTGAATAGTAAATGAAAATATAAATTGAATTTTTAAACTTCTGTTGAACAGGCTCATCCAGAAGGACAATGGACTCTGAATCAATGAAAGAATGACGCATCATGTTTTCATGAATTAGATTCATTTGTATAAACTTGTGTTTTCTTGTTGTTGTGTTTTTCTTTTTGGTATCAGCTTGTTTTAAATGGTAGAAACTGTATTAAACTTAACCGGGCCAGTGCCGGCCAAACTGTTAATTAATTTGCAACCGTTACGGATGTGTACTAGGCCATACTACTTTGCCTGTTATGTTCCAGTTCAACGCCAATGTGCAAAATAGTACAGGCCAAGTACCGGAATGCTTTAAATTGAATGGGTCTGATTTTCTGACTTTACTGGGCCACTAATGGCCCAGTTACGTGATGTTAGCTGGGTACTCACATACTTCCCCGACAATCATTCTTGTAAAATATGTTGATATGGTGCAGACACGTTCACCTGTGGTGTACCAGCCCGTTTAGCCTGCTGTAAGAACGAATGAATATTACCTTAAGCCGCATCAGCAACTCATTGACGTAATTTCAAAATCACACACACACTACTCTTAATAGAAAATACCCGTGAAGATCCGGGGTAGAATAGGTCTTCAGCAACCCATGTGCTTGCCATAAAAGGCGACTATGCTTGTCGTAAGAGGCGACTAACGGGATCGGGTGGTCAGGCTCGCTGACTTGGTTGACACATGTCATCGGTTCCCAATTGCGCAGATCGATGCTCATGCTGTTGATCACTGGATTGTCTGGTCCAGACTCGATTATTTGCAGACCGCCGCCAAATGGCTGGGATATTGCTGAGTGCGGCGTAAAACTGAACTCACTCACTCACTTAATAGAAAACTATATTCTTTCACACGTCTTCATCTGATACACACCTGTATAACGCATAGATGCTATACAGTAATTTGTAATTACTGAATAGGGCATATGTTTGGGTAAAACGTCGTTTTGCTGAATAGAAGTGTGTGTTTATATTTATGCTAGAAAAAGGATGAACAATAATACCCACTCGACACCTTAGAACCCTACCACCACATGAGGTCAGAAGATAAAAAATATATACACGGTTTGTGAACAGGAAAGTGCCGTGCAAGCTGCCGAATGAAACCGGAATGACCCGAGGATATCTGAATGTTATGTGTACGTTTGCGACATCACAGCTCATTTACGGCAGCTACTGTCAACGTGGAAGAAGCTGGGCTGACTGACATTGGCGTTTTTGTAAGTTGTCAATACCACGATCGTTAACATCTGATGTTCCATATGAGACATAGGGAGGTCTAAGCATCAGTGCAAGGTATCACTTAAATTCTGTCTCGGTAAAATCAATACAGTTAGTTAATACCACCCTTGAATTTAGACGAGTTGACGAACAGCTGTTGTCAGTGTTGAACATTGAAGCGAGAGCTACCGTTCGTTATTTCATAGCTAAATAGCCCTGCTTGTCTTCAACGAGGCTTATAGTGAGGCATGGATAATTAGTAATGAGCTTATCATTGTCCTTATTCAATAATCCTGAAGTGTATATGCAAGAAAACAAAAGTATACAGTCATTTGTTGACATGATTGTCTAGTGAATCGCACACACAGTGTGTTGAGAAGTGCGGAAAGTGTATTTTTCAGGGTGGGTTTTTTAAGGTATGTTTATTAGGAAAGAGTTCCTTCCGTTCCCCCATATTTTTTTGTAACATTACCGTGCCAGGGGCCCTTATCATACAACGTGGTGCGACCCTATATATAATGTAGTTATTTTTGTGAGTTCTCTAGTACTTGTTGTGCTAGGTTTTGTTAATAATTTCAGTATATATTAATTTATATATATCATTTGGGATTGGGTAGCGGGGGGAACTCTTACCGTTTATTATATCATTTGACATGGTGTGTTTCTTTTTTTTGGATTATGTCTTTGGGCCAGGGAAATATCCAGAATCTATGTACATTAAGTATTTATTAATGTCTCACTACAATGTGATGTTAAAACCTGGCATGATATGCATGAGTGATTTAATCGCAAACTCGATGAAAAGATTATTAAAACTACTTGAATGTTGTACACAAACTTTCAGTTTCTGTTCACTCTTTGGCTGCTTATCGATATAATGATACACAGTGTAATGTGTGCTGTCCAGATGTTGCTACGGAATATGTTCATATCATTACATATGGTTGTTAGTAAACCCTGTCATACATTTAAGGATATTGATGTTGCAGAAGTGAGCACTCAGATCTGATTTGTTATTATCTGTACTGGAACTGATGTTTCACAATCATCATTTTGTTTATTGTTATCCAATCAAATGAACAATGACAACAATCTGTAATGACTGCTGAAAGTTCACACCCACACCCACACCCACACCAACACCATATTGGTTAATGCTAAAACTGGGAATTAGGTTCATTAATCATGAAATACAGAATTGAAGTAGCTTACAATAAAAACATTCCTCCAGTTAATCATGTAGATGCTCAGAAATGAATGAATAAACTTGTATATTGTATTTCCGATTACTTTAAATCATTGCACAAAGTATTATGATGAAACAAAGATTTTTTACTGACTTAGGGACCATTCATAATTTATGGCTAAGTGGGGTGATTATGATTTTTATGGAGAAGCATGTACAATGTGAATGACACCCCCACTCTAAAAATTTTGTGCAAAATGTACAAAATCAATGACACACCAGCCCCCCTCTCCTTCCCATAATTTATAAGCTTAATTTTAAACATATTTCTATGTATAAAATCACTGACCCCCCTAGTACATGTGCACAAACTTGCTACCCCCTCCTAGCTTCCCGCAACAAAATGGGTGACCCCCCCATAAAATCATCATCATCACCACTAGCCATAAATTATGAATGGTCCCTTAGGGAGTAGTAACCATGGTAAACAGGGTTAGCTTGAGTTTTTGTCCATTTTCCAGAATAAACAACCTATCATCAACTAAACAACCAATCATCAACTGAGATCAACATGAGGCAGCTGAAGGGCAAGGTCAAGGAGTCTCGCAAGGAGAAGCGAGAACGCAAATTGGACAATATGAAAAACAAGGACGGCCTGATGACGGTGGTGCTTCCAGTGCTGGGGGTGATCGCCTTGTTGATTGGACTGTTTGTGTACGTGAACACCCGCCCGATGCCCAATGAGCAGTGATCTGACCAGCGATACTGGACATTTATTGTTACCATTATATTTCTATATTTCATGGTTATGGGTGTTTCTGAGAATTGTAGGAGTGCTGAGTGAAAGTTTGGTGTTTTACCTGTTATTCAAGATTATGCCATAATACATTTGTAATTTTAATATTCATACATCATGTCATGGATTTTTAGCTACTGAGATTATAAGGTGGTGTGAATTTATATCTCTGCAGTATTATGCAATGGAATATACATGCTTTATCCAGTCTTGGGATCTGGGTCACATCTGTGAACAAAATGAATTCCATGCATCACTTTGGAAATAATTGTTATTGTTGAACTTATTTTATTTTTCTGGGCTTCTGGGTTATGCTGTGTGAACAAAATAACTTCTGATCAGTCATGGCCCAATGCTCATGACACGTGACACTTTTGTCCGAATCCATACAGTTTGTGTGTGTGCACTCATCCTTCTGGGTACCCATTCACTGCTGGGTGAACGGAGGCCCATTAAAAGCCACCTGCCAGAGGACACCCAACATTTTGTGTCAGTGACTTCATCCCTGCCATCTTAGTATGATCTGACAAATGGGTCCAGGCATACATAAGCCCACATGCCATCTTGAACGTAGCTGTGCTCAAACCTTGTGTCAAACATAATGAATGAATCATGACACCCCTACGAACAAGTGAATCTCATCATCAATATCACGACTAGTTCATGATTTAGGAGGATGAAACAAAAACAAAATGCTAATGTCAGCCGAGCAAAGAAACAATGCGAGTAATGTGTGAAGTCTAGTCATTATTTATTTTTGAAAGTGCCACAGCTTTCATGATAGTCTTGTATTTGTTGGGAATGAGTTCACTGAGTTTGAATCCTCACACGATGATGGGGGCAGTGAGGTAGCCTAGTGGTTAAAGCGTTAAAGCTGGAGTCCCGGTTCGATTCCTACATGGGTACAATGTGTGAAGCCCATTTCTGGTGTCCCCCGCCGTGATATTGCTGGAATATTGCTACAAGCGGCGTAAAAGCAAACTCACTCACTCACAGGATGATGTTTCCAGCTTTGTTAGCACCATAACCGCTCCTGTGTTTGTTGAAAGTGATAAAAATATGTAGATTAGAACAGCATCACTTCAGACGTTCCTTTCATCAAACTGATGTAACTTGTTCAACACAGTATTATGCTAAACTCTATGATAATGATAACAACTAAAGTAGTGTTTATTTGTAATGCGCTAAATCCACACCTGAAAGCTAAGAGCTACATGACAACCCAGGTGATTTGATCAGCATGATCAACATCCACTTGATTTTCATTCTCAGCTCCTTGGGGAGTATACAATAACTCGGAGATGCCAGTAGGCTGCCACTATGTTGTCATGCACCTGTTTGGTTACGGTAATAGATTTCCACATAATTATTGATGTATATCACAAGAACTAGTTCTAGTTATCAGATTGTAGCTTCAACATATTTAACAGAAACCTGTTTTTGTTTGAAACAAATTTTTGTATTGTTTAAAAAGATATATTTTGCATAATAATTGTTCTTTTAGGAATTGACTCTCTCCATGTACTATTATTTAAAAGGTAATTTTCATTGTTTTTTATTGAAAACTACCTAATTTCCACCATTTCACACACTCTGTTTATGAGCTTTTTTATTCAAACTACTTATATGGTAAGATGTGATATGTGAAAGATAGGACTTCAGATTTAGGACCTATCACCAAAGAAATAATCTCTTGTCATTTGATTTTGAGATGATATTTTTTGTTCTTTTGTTAGCCTATATACATGCACTTTGTTCCCAGATCTTGCAGTTGCTAGCCACCAAGATACAACTACCAAAAACATTTATTGTTATGAGATATGTGTGAATGAATCAATGTATTGCTTCTTTGTAAGTCTTTTTAAATATTGCTGATAATAATTACTGATTATGCAGAACATGTTACCATGGTAACAAAAACACTTGAAATGAAATGAGAATCATATTAATTGTGTCATCAGTTTTTATGTAAAACATTCTACTGTTAAAATTGCTCCATTAGTTTTGTTATCAGGTCATTCCTATTCCCAGCCTGTACACTTAATTCTGCCCATGAGTATATGGCTTGTCAAAGGAGGAATGTTGTATATCTTCTGGCAGCAGACAAGAAGGCTTTCAACTGAAAGCCTCACTGCATAATGTTAGACTGTATTTGTGAAGGGGGTTATGGGGAAGATCTGTTGTAATGAATTATTATGTCTTATGAGATTATTAAAAGTGATATTTATCAAACGTGATGTTTTTTGTTGAACATTGCTATGATCATTACGTCCCCCCCCACCCCCCACCCTCCAGAACAAAATGTGTGACACCCACACACACGCACGCACTCGCACGCACGCACGTACGCACACACACACACACACACACACACACACACACACACCAAGTCATAAATAATGAACGGTCCCTTATAAACAGATAATTATGGTGTCCAGTAATCCCGGTTTGTCTAATCCCTGGGTGGTCAGGTGGTCGCTGACCTTTATGTCATCATAATCCAGTTGCATAGATTAATGTCTAAGATGTTGATACCACACTTATGAATGAGGTCTGGAAATAATCAAGTCTGGACCAGACAATCCAGTGACTGACATTATGAGAAGGGTTCTACACAATTGGGATCTGATGGACTAAGGCTTAGTCTCTGAATATATGAATATATATACTTTTGATAGAAATGAATAATTCCTTTTAAATTGAAGAGGAGTCCAAGTGAGGTGGGAGATTCCTGAACCTGTGGAAATCTAGACTTACTTTTGGGGCATAAGTATTGCAGAAAGGGCTTGGCAGAAGGGAAAATAATGCGCATTGCGGTTCAGATACTGCCAGACAGAACGGGGATATTCTGATGACATGCATCAGAACACGTTTAGGGGTTGATTAAACGCTATCCTTAACAAGTTTAGATCCTTACCGCGTCATAATTAAGGGTTAGGGACATGCGACAATTGCGTAGTGACGTCAATACAGTGTGACGTAATGGAAAACGCGCCTTTTATCTTTTAGCGAAGCATCTTAGAATTAACATCTGAACAACTTGAAGTTTTTTTTCCTTTTTTCTCAGTTTCTGGAATATTATTGAGTACAGTGTTAAACAATGCACAGGAGCAAACAAACACGTTCATTATGACGAAAATTTTGATTGTCCAGTTCGAGTATTTTAACAATATCACGACTTGTCTTATTTATACATGAATCCTATATTACATATCTAAATGTTTTACGAGCAGACTGTTGAATATTGAATACTCCGCGCCGCCATGTTTACAGAACCTGTCGATTGATGAACACCACATTATGTCCGGACGAGCCACAGCTGACGAGCACCTGTTGCAGTAGAAGGGAACGTAGGCGTAAAGAGAGATGATTTTATAATTTTCATATTTATGATCTGATGACAATCTGAGTAGAGTGTTATGGCAAGGCTTTTAACGCGGTGCTGCAGTATTCTTCAAGTTGTATTTACAATTATATTTTGTGTGGATTGAATAAACAGGGGATATGGAAAGCTAATTTTGTAACATCCATTTACAGGTCTCGATTGTTTAAGACCGACGTCAAATTAGCTGTATGGCGTAAAACAACAAACCAAATATCGACACATGTGCGGGTTTCATCGTATGGGTAAATTATTGTACTCCGGGTCACCGGCATGACAAGTATCAACGTGTCTCAGTCGGATATGTTATTGGTGGTGGTAGCCAAGTTCGCTCGAGGGAGCGGTTCGAATCCCGACATGAGTATTATGTGTGAAGCCAAATTCTGGTGTCCATTGCCATGTTGCAGGCCTATTGTTGAAGGTGAGGTGAGGTGAGGTGAAATTGGGTTTTACGTCGTGCTTGAGAATATTTCGCTCATATGACGACGTGCATGCGTGTGTATGTGTATGTGCGGCTGCTTGTACTAGCCCAGACTTAAGCTGGTTTTATAGTGCTAGCCCACTGAGATACCATGCCGCAGTGAAGCATGAATACCCCACTCAGACACATTATACTGACTCCGAGCCGACCAGTCCTTGTTGTACCCATTAATGCCGAGCGCCAGGCAAGGACCAACAAGTACCATATTTTAACGTCTTTTGGTATGACGCGGTCGGGGATCGAACCCGCGACCTTCCGCTCCTATTGTTGAAAGCGGTGTAAAACCAAACTCACTCACTGAAATAAGTGACTACGGACTCGATCCCAGACTGTGCTGGGTGGAATTAATGTTCCTCCGATGCTGAAAAAAAATCGTAATCTGGATAATTCCTTCAAACATCTCAAGAAAGAGACGAGAAAAAATTCGAACCTGGACCAGACACACAAGGTGGTTGGATATTATGAGCATGCACCGCCTTCTCCTTTGAAGCTCATCGATTCCCGTCATGTAGAACTTTATGCAACGGATCGCCCAATACCGCCTCTTTTCCCCTAAATATTTTTCTGTTACCTAATATGACAGGGTAGACCGTGCCGTTACTAATGGCATGAGGTCAGTAGAACCAAGGTCGTATTATTAGTCAAAATGTTTCAGCAATTAAAACCTTCACTATAACACCATCTTACTCTGAGTTAAATTTAAATCTATATATACATCGGGAAATTTTATGCATATTTGTAACACGCTGTGTTGTGCCATATGACTTGATATTGGATGTTTTTATGAATATATTTATATTGCCCAACTTACAATTGTACAACAATTTGATGAAATACATTTATGCACATCTTCGTCATCTGGGGCGGTGGGGTAGCCTAGTGGTTAAAGCGTTCGCTCGTCACGCCGAAGACCCGGGTTCGATTCCCCACGTGGGTGCAACGTGTGAATCCTATTTCTGGTGTCCCCCGCCGTGATATTGATGGAATATTGCTAAAAAAGCGGCGTAAAACTAAACCCATTCACTCACCAGAATGATTTGACGATTTGCTCACATATATTCTTACAGAAACAAATAAGGGGACACAATTTGGGTTTGTTTCTTTTTTTATAACGTTGCGTTAGGTAATATTTTAAGCCAATATCACGATGGCCCGTCAGTAATCACTCTTCGTCATCTGTCTACACAGTGAACGTCCGCTTGCACCTAGAGCGTCCATCCTTCCGTAATCTCTCTACCGTGTCTACTGTTACTAATGCAGAGTTAAACACAAGCCGACAACAGTTTCACCTGCAGGGAATCAGGAAGTAGGGCCAGGCCTTCGTCAGAAGTGAACAATTCACTTCCTAGCTCCCGTGTCTCGGTAAGGTATATTTATGTCTTTCCTATATCCAACCCCAACCAATATCACCATGTAAAGGAATTTGGACTTAAATGACCAACGTTTTCACGATTATTGTAGGACTGCAGGCCCACCATCCAACCACGGGAACGCTTAGCAATGTCATTGATGTATGTCTAATACTTGTGCTAGTCCTATTGCATGATAATGAACACACACAAAACTTTAACAATGAACACTTGAACAATAATAGGTATATGATGATTGGTGAGTTACAAATACTGATATGATGGTATATGACCCTATCTGCCATACTGGCCAGTTCCTGCTGCACTTGCTTTGCTCCAAGGCTGTACTGAATGCTAAGCCAATGGATGTATAGTAAAGCCACCTTGACACTTGCGTGCCAATGATTAAATTCGGCGTAAACTGTTGTGAAGTGTGCATAAACTGTGCGGGACTGCGTGCCATTGCGCAAAGAAAATTTTGAAATCTTCACAAATTCTTGTACGCATAATCTTCGTGTCACTTGCGTGAACTAGTCGTGAACATTGCCCAACCTACTCGCAAAACACTGCGGGTGGTGCGTATCAAAGCGTGTCAGTTTGCAGCCTTGCGCGCATTGACAGGCAGTCTCACGCATTGGTCACGAACTGTGTGCCACATGTTCGCGACAGATTGCGCAAAGTTCACGCCTTCTAACTTGTGGTGAAGTGAGAGGGCAGGACTTGTGTATTGTCACAACTTGTCCACGTGGTCATGGCACGACCAGTTCCCGCATAGTTTGCGCACGGCACGAATAGTTTGTGCATGTCACGAAATTGATACGCATTGGGAACGCCTACTTTACGCATTGTTTGCGCCCGAATCAGCGACGACCGCGCACTCGGCAGTGCGTACATAAAAAGCGTGCAAATCGCCAGTCCCCACATTCCTCTACTCGACAGCGAACAGTCAAGAAGAAGACAACCAGAGGAAGAGCAGGACGAGCAATGGACACAGAAGACTGGAAGAAGAGACCGGATAAGAAACAGAGATAGAGACAGAATTTGCAGAGAGTGAGAGGGATATTTCTCCAAATACCGGACTACAAATGGACTGATGAGGGAACTATGAAGCTGGTCGAATTAAGCAGCACCCCCCAGCTATTCGACAAGAAGCAGAAGGATTGGCTGAATGTCACTGCAAAGACCCAAATTTGAACATCAAAATGATGTGGCACAGGCTTGTCATCAGGGGTGGAGCTGGTCCAGGCAGTCCGGCTCGGTTGTCCTCGACAGCTTTGTGCAAAGTACAGTTCTTCCATGTCCCTCTATCTAAAGCACCACCCTCTACCCCAACATCAACATACAAGAACTTGTATCCAGCATCTACATGGGCCATGAGCACAATGGTGTGGAAGCCCTTATAACTGTAGTAGAATGATCCTGCTTTGGGTGGCTTCTTCATAGCAACACCCTTGCCGTCCACAGCCCCCAGGCAGTTGTGGTAGTTCCATCTGGAACTAAAACCTTCAGCAACCTCCTTCCACTCCTCTTCAGTTTTGTGGTACCTGAATACTTCGTCCTTGCAAACCTCAATGATGGCTTTGGAAACCTCTTTTAAGAACTTGCTGATTGTAGTGACTTCAACTCTGAAGCTATGTAGACTTGCATAGGAATTACCAGTGGCTAGGAAGCGAAGAGTGGTTGCCAGTGTTCAACATCTTGTAGGTCCACAGCAATGCATGAAGCTGGGACAAAGCGAGACCAAAATATACCACGACTGCTCACGCATGCGCGAAGTGGTTGTGGCAATGCATGCCCATGCTGGAACTATGCGCATCGTGCGTACCATGCCGTACACTAGACGTAAACAATGCGCCAACAATACTTGACCTAGTCGGAAATAAGTCATGCAATAGCGTGCCAATGCATGACAATGAGCACCATTTTCGGTCACGCATTGCGTGCCAAGTGCGTAACTTACGCGTAAACAGGACGCGAACAGTGCGCAAACTAGACTTCACACTTTCATGCGTACTATCTGAATTAGACGCATTGCCACGACGAATTGCGCGGCAGTGCGGGGATAAAATTCGTGCAAGTGTCAGGGTGGCTTAACTCTATCCTTTACAGAGCCAGGTCTATATTCGTGGACAGCACAAGGACGCCAGTCTGTTAGTGGGACAATGTGTTCTTTTCATTCATTTTCTTTTAGAAATTATTATTGAAACTATTATTTATTACCCAAGAGACGTGCACGTCCGCTGCTGCAACAGTGACCTGAGAAACACATAATCTTCATCCGGTGTTTGTTCTGAGGTCGACTGACATGATAGCTGTCACACCGTGTTTGAAATAATCCAGCATCCATACCAGCTGGGTCCACCTGTTCGTTTTTCTGGGTTGTCTGGTGGTCTTCTTAGCATTTGAGATATTTGAGAAATGATCTGTGAATTTCCAATCGATGTCGAAACTACAGATGTTGATGCTCCAGCAGATGTCGAAGCTGCAGCTGTTGATGGTCTGTCTGATGTCGAAGCTACCGCTGTTAATGGTCTAGCAGATGTCGAAGGTGCAGCTGTTGATGGGCCGTCAAAGGTAAAGGTTTTGTATGCCAACAGCTGTATTATCTGTTTCTGCACTGGAGTAGGACATATCACAAGGTATTTCTACATGTATGTTCTGTTCAGAAAAGGCAGTAAATTGAATAGAAACGTTTTCCCCATGATCGTCCTGCAAGGAAAACCAAGTCGTTAAATCTTGCATATTCAAATATTTGATTTAACATTGTCGAATACTCGATCAGCCCCCCTGGATGTATATGTCCAGGGAAGAAATCATTGATGCATATGTCCGAGGTTTCTTAGTCCTCTGGGGCGGTGGGGGTAGCCTAGTGGTTAAAGTGTTGGCTCGTCACGCCGGAGACCCGGGTTCGAATCCCCACATGGGTACAATGTGTGAAGCCCATTTCTGGTGTCCCCCGCCGTGATGTTGCTGGAATATTGCTAAAAGCGGCGTAAAACCAAACTCAGTCAGTCAGTCAGTCTTAGTCTTCTTATGGAAACACTGTCGTGAGAGAAGCACATGTAAAATCAGGATCCTGCTGTTATGAATATTGAAAATGTCCAATGGCGCTTCCTGCCCACGTGGATTCTGTGTATCGATTTCGGAATATCGACGTTGATCTCTTTGGAAGACGTGGCGATGGTGGCACATTTGCCAATTCAGCACTGGGCAAAGCAATGGCAGCTGTATCCATCTAAACAATCTACCAGGAGTCCCAGGCCCCAGCCACACGTAGCCTATAAAACCTTTTCACGGAAGGACAATATCATGAGCCCCTATACCGTTAAAAGGGAAGTGTACACAAATAAATACCATTTATTCTTAAATGTGAATCAAAGTGAACTGTTTTAATTAGTTAATACCAATGTTTGAAAATATACACTCACTTTTCTTACAATGTAAGTATAACCCTCAAAATAAGTGCTGAAATGTTATGCCAATATGAGGCCTTTGTTTGCCGAGCTAAACAGGCCAGAGTTACCGCCCTTTGATTATGATGTAATTGGTGCCACTTGATTTTAAACTGGTCTCCTGTCTAGTCCCAAATCAAAAGATAATAATACTGAAATTAATCACGTAAAAAAGAGTTTTTGAAAATTCGAAAGAAGCATAAGAACAGAAAACGTACCCGCAACTAGGTGTTTGCACGTATTCATGTGGCCACCATCTGGTCATATACTAATGGATTGGTGGGTTCTTTTAAGTGCACAGGGTTGTGTACTGTACACTAGGGGTTGTGACAACACTGAAAGAGTCTGCACACAAAGTTGACTCCACGGTTTTTACACCCGGTCACAGGTGGGTTCGATCCCGACACCTCGAGGTCGCTGGATCACTAGCCTGGCGCCTTAGCCAGCTCGCCCACCATGCACCATTACCCAACTTTTACCAGTATTCCAGCAATATCACGACGGGGGACACCAGAAATGGGCTTCAAACAGTGTACCCATGTGGGGCGTGACGATCGAACGTTTTACCCACTTGGATACTACACCGCCCCTGTATATTGGTGGAACAGGTGCTTGTGGTGCCACTACTGCAGGTCAGACTCGTGACGTAATCTGCATGTACTTCACGTACCTTGCAGCACACAGCTGTTACAAGAGTGTAACGGATAAATCTTCCAGTGAGTGGTACCATAGACCAGAAGGATTTTTAAAACCGTTTTCATGTTGAATTCAGGTGTCAGTATGTAACAGGTGCAGAGTGCACATTATACATGTTTGTATTTACACCTTGGTAAATAACCGGCTTTGTCCTTATACTTGCCTTGCCGTCCTGGCACTAAAAGGGGCGGTGAGGTAGCCTAGTGGTTAAAGCGTTGACTCGACACGCTGAAGACCCAAATTCGCTTCCCCACGTGGGTACAATGCATGAAGCCCATTTCTAGTGTCCCCCGCCGTGATATTGCTTGAATATTGCTGAAAGCAGCGTAAAACTAACTAACTCACTCACTCACTCTCAGCACTAAATGCTTTTTGTGCGTCCTTGAAGAGCGACGAATCGATTATGTACATGCAGGGGTGTTTCTGTACCTTTAGAATCAACACTTCTTCCTGTATGTGAAATTTGGGCATCTTTCTTTTAACATGATTAAACAGCTCTGCCAGTGTCCAGGATGTATTCTAGTGGTAAGTACGTGACATCACACGTTCTGTCCTGAAGCTCCTTCATTTAATGTCGATTAGAGAAACCGGAAATATTTCTATTCTTTTCCGAGAAAGTAAACATTTAATGTCGCAGCTTGCAACATGTGGGCTATTTTACGACAGTCGTAAACAATCCACCCGAGAAACCAGTGGTTGATGTGATGAACTTCGATCACGATGACACTAATGTAGTAGGAAAAAAAGTGAAATCCAGTCAATCAGAAGTCCTTTAATCGCAGAATACGGCTTCTGATCAATATAATGATTAATAACATCTACTTATGTACACATGAACAGTCCGACCTGTGGTCAATAAATTCGGATGCATAGCGCCAATCCGTACTTTCAATACAGCGAGTTAATACTGAAGGAAGCGCTCGTAATAGGACTTTACATATACAACTGCGCGATGCCACAACGGCTTCGCGGTTGCGACATGGACGTCGTCAGTCGTCCTGTTTTTTACTTTTTCCCGTGTCTGTTGCACATAGTCCTGTTTGGGAGAGTGGGTGAGTGAGTGGATGTGATGTTACGCCGACATACTCTAGCTACATCACGTCGAAGGACAATAAGAATTGGCTTCCGAACATGCATAGCACCAATTTTTGGAATCGAACCCCGGTTTTCGGTGTGACGATTTAACTCTGGCACCACAAGACCAACCTACCGTCTCGACCTAATCAGTCTCGTCTACCCGCTGTTACAAAGGGTGTTATAACCATTCCATATTCCTGGGGTTTATTGAAAACACAGATACTGAGTATGGTGTACCTAACAGTATAACACCATAAACCTTAGAACGATTTGAGGGCCGGTGGGGTAGCCTAGTGGTTAAAGCGTTCGCTCTTCACGCCGAAAACCAGGGTTCGATTCCCCACATGGGTTCAATGTGTGAAGCCCATTTATGGTGTCCCCCGCCGTGATAATACTGGAATATTGCTAAAAAAGCGGCGTAAAACTAAACCCACTCACTCACTAGAACGATTTGACGACTTGCTCACATATACTGAGTGACTGAGTTTAGTTTTACGCCTCTTTTAGCAATATTCCAGCAATATAACGACGTGAGACACCAGAAATGGGCTTCATGCTCACATATATATATTCTTACAGCAACAAATAAGGGTACACGAGTTGGGTTTGTTTCTTTATTTATAACGTTGCGTTAGATAATATTCAAGCCAATATCACGATGGCCTGTCAGTAATTGAATCTGACCAGACAATGCAGTGATTATAACATGATCAATGCGGTCGGGTCACAATGACACACAGAGCGTGAGTTAATAAGTATATTCCAGCTACACATAGGCAGCCTGTAACTACTTGAGCTGGCACAAGACAGACATATACCAGTGGTTGATGTTTCACAGGTTACACTGTAACTGACTAGTGGTGGTCCGATTAATTGAAATAATCGAGGATTGGTCGCAGTGCCTAAACGACCAAGCAATCGATTGTGTTTTCTCATAATCGAACACAACCAATTTTGGAACACTTGTTTGCATCAACAATATTTTACACAAGGTTGGTTTTGTCTGTGTCATTAAATTTACAATTCATAAGCACTACAAGCTCGTTCCAAGTCATGATTGAATTTATCTTAAAGAATCCAGGAAATCTGTGTTCCTAACAAACTTTTCATCCTTTAAATATGCGAAATTTGCCAATGGATTTTGTGCAATTTGCAAAAGACCCAATTGCAAATTACTACATGTTTTTTCACATTTTTGTGTGTGCATTAACAAAGATAACAGGAACATTTGATAAATGACGCAAACCAATTATTTTCGATGATTGATCGGTTGTAATGAACCAATCATCAATTATGAGATTTTAACCAATTCCCAACACTATAACTGACCTGGATTTTCCACTGGGGTTACACATATCAAGAAATCTAACTTTAGGTACACATGAAATCGGAACAGTGAAGCAGTCGGTTCCTTTGTAGACTCACTAGGAACGTTCTGTTAAAGTGTTTTCGTATAATTTGGCATAGAGTACATTTTTTCACTTTCCCGTCTATGTTTTCAACTGTGAATTTCATTCGTTGCCCATATCCTCATTTGATTATGCTCGATTTAAGAAATCTGGTCTAACTTTCACCAGGTGCATCACCCAAGTTGCACCAAACAAAAACAAGATTCCACCTTGATCCCATTAATTATTTAAAGATAAAACTTAGCTTGGCCTGCTTCCATTTCATATAAATTAATGACGCACAACAACTTACTATAAACATATGCACGCAATCTTGAAGGAACAACATCTTGATGGGGTCAAAGGTCAAATGTAACACAGGTACTAGCGATGTAGTAAAGTAAATACAGTGTAGATGTCATGATCATATTCAAAGATCAACTTGTTTGTACAAGTCAGGGTTGTTTAGACACAATTTATGGACACTTACTTCGTGCATGTAGACATTAATATCAGATTCTATTTGTCAAATATAGGTTCCACGTGTGAATGTTGTATATAGCTAAAACAACCCCTCTCTTCTAATATTAGCTACAGAAATAAATATTAAGAATATTAAATATTACAGAAAAATATTAATTAATATTTCAATTTAAATGATATTATGTAAAGTACAAAATTATATCACTTGAAAATTTAAATAGACCAATACAAGTAGAAAGTTCAAGTTGCCAGACAACGAAATACGGGTATATATTACTTCATAACAACAAAAATAAGCTTCTTTCTGACACCGTTATCTCTTTATAAGCTTACATGAGTTGTCTACCCCTGACAATACGGGTGGCGTGCTCTGTATCGTGCCCATCATGGGAATAACAGCGAACCCTGTTAATCCGAACTACACTGTACCCAGAGACATCGATAAATAAATGGTTGATTAAATCGAAAGTAGACATATTTCATGTTTCATATTTCATGACATACAAGTAATATAATTGCAAGAGACAGTTTCATTTTAACGTAATGAACAGAACATCCCGGCTGAGCTGAACGTCTCCGTGGCGTCCACTATCAAAATGATATGTGACGGTTTGTGATGTTAATATCAACGTATCATAATGCAAATAAGTACAGCTCCTAGAAATAACAAACATTTTAAATAAGTGTCCCCAGTCTTGTTCCAGGAGCAGTAAACATTCGTGGGTGTACATTGTACCCATGTTAGAAGCATATTAGTAAGATAACAACAAGTGCATATTTATAATTTACAGGTAAGTACGCTGATGTACATATATATTCACTGTGAAACAGTTTAGACGCAAGCCACCTCCATTCTGCTTCCTATAAAAAGTCCGAGCTTACTTAGTTGTCCAAATGGTTCTTCATCCCTCTTATGTTACACGGTGTACAGGTCGACAATGAATGCCCATTTTCGTCGTCAGTGAAATCACCAATGAGCCAAGCTCGATCGCCATCTTGTTGGCGGAAGTGAATGGTGCTGCGTGTGCGCATCGTCATACCATCTTCCGGTGGCTGCGTCATCTGTGGTGACAATACTGGCACCCACAACGGAGGATGTACCTGTATGTGGCGTACACCACCTCTCCCCCCTCACACTGCAGAGCCACCGCTTTCATGATGGATAGTCTGTCCCTGCAGCACGAGCAGTGATGTTTGAACGGACGGAAGAGGACGGGAGAGAACGAGATTCTCGGCAGTGTGCGAGACTTGTTGCAATAGCCTTCACACTTCGTCAGCAGGATTTCCTGAAATTGAAATGGGAAACTGAAGGATGTTTCAAAACCATTGTCAGGAATAATTTCATATTGTTTTAACGATTATGTTATTGCTAAATAAGCTAGTGATTGAAATAAGAGTTTATTCTATTTTCTAGAAATATTGGAGGGTGGTTGACGTGAGGCAGAGCCCTCATGGTCTCTGGGTGAGGTGAGGTGAGGTGAGGTGAGGTGAGGTGAGGTGATTACAGCTATCATACAACGTTGGTTGGATGGTTTGTTCTTTAACGCCGCATTCAACAATATTCCGACTATATGGCCGCAGTCTGAAAAAAAATCGAGTAGACCAGACAATCCAGTGATCAACAGCATGAACATCGATCTACGCAATTGGGATACGATGGCATGTGTCAACCAAGTCATCACGCTTGACCACCCGATCCCGTTAGTCGCTTTGTACGACAAGCATGGGCTGTTGAAGATCAATTCTAACCCGGATGTTCACGGGCCTATCATACAACGACGTGTGTGGGGACGCGTGCTTGTACTATTCCGGGCCTAGGCCAGTATTATACACACTGTTCAGCAGTTTAACATTATCACCCTAATTTACTGACTCAAAGCCGACCGGTCTTTATTTAATCTCCTTCACAGACAGGTTAACGACAAATACCAACCGGGCATCGAACACCGACCTTCTGCTCTCCGGGCAGATCTCCGTCTGGTGAACCATGTTGAAACCAATGATCGAAAGCATGTATGGGCAGTATGGCGGATAATCTGCTAGACCACGAAAATGTATGTCAAGTATGGGATTAAAGATGGCCTGCCTTTGCATGGGTTTGCGACGGATGGTGGGTCAGGAACACCTTTTCGACATCATCACAAACTGATGTTGATTAAACAGATGGTCATGATATAGTCGGAATTGCACAACGAATGTCTAACAGTTTAACCGCGTTTCACTAAAGAACCGACGAAACCCGTGAAGATCCGGGTTAGAATCGATCTCCAGTAACCCATGCTTGTCGTAAGAGGCGACTAACGGCATCGGGTGGTCAGGCCCGCTGACTTGGTTGACATATGCCATCGGTTCCCAATTGCGCAAATCGATGCTCATGCTGTTGGTCACTGGATTGTCTGGTCCAGACTCGATTATTTACAGACCGCCGCTGTATAACTTGAATATTGCTGAGTGCGGCGTAAAACGTAACTCACTCACTAAAGAACCGATGAGATGAGATATCAAGCATGGTAGAGGACATGACTATTGAAGACAAGTATTTACCTACGTCGAACTAGGATGGTGTTATGGATAGCCAGCCGAGTCCATGTATATTCCAATCAAATTCGCGTTATGAAACCGACGTCCGGTTCTTAAGCACCAAGACGACGCCTTGCAGAATTCTATCGATTGCCACATTGGCAACGCATGTGTATCGTCAACATGGCGTCGCCAAGTACTTTCCGAATCTTTTCATGTTTCCAGTCAACACGCTCCAGTGACTTTACGCACGAACGCGACATAAGACCCGTTTACTTACAGTCTTTATCTTAAATATAGAGGAGATCGTCTTAAAGGGGAATACGAACGAAAACAAAACTTTTGATATATTGTAAAGAATATTCTAAAAGTCACCTTCCGTGATTAAAAACTGAGCAAAAAGTTTGTAAATTAGCAATAAAAACACAAAAAACGTACTCGTATTTCCGACCTATTACGGAAACACCCGACGGTTAATGAGCAGATGGGGTATCACGTGACATGACGTCATATGTGCGTGTTGCTGATAGCTTCCTCTTTGATTTTACCTCACAACTTAACAGTGTCCATGGATTCGGAAGCAGTAAAAGATGTTCCTGATGTCATTTCTGACATAGATGTTAGACCGTATCAATACGATCCGATTTTACCTCTTGCAAGACAATCGTCCACTGAATATGAAGAAGAAGAATCAAGCGAAACGGAGGCACCGCTTGAGGTCAAAATAAATTTTAAAAATAGACATATCACTTAACAAGAATACTATTTGTCAGCAAAATGTGATACAGTTCCAACCAGCAAACCCACCCCTAATAAATATATGACCAGTCCCTAAGAATTATTTCCCTCGGAATGATCGGAGCATTTCTCCTGCCTAAATCTGTCTCTTTACTTGGAAAACGGAAGAAATGGTGGCTCTTTCCATTGTTCGATGATTCCGAGCATCCCCAAGCAACGGAATACACCATTGTACCATTTACAAAACGACAGAGACAACACGATTTGTATTACTGTAGCGCTTGTTCTTTGGCAATATGGCGGACGCTTGTCACATATGACGTCACGAGCGGAAAGGTCACGTGAGTTGCAGCGGAATATCCATAATGGCCGAAGCTCAGATAACAGAAACTGTTTTCGCGAAAAAACATAATAAACCGTATTTTTGAAGTACAAATTGGGGTACATGTTCCTGATGACTTTATCTTTCACCCAGCAAATTACTGCAATTGTCTTCTCCTTTAAGGAAAGTGTGCGTAAATCTGATTGGCCAATAGGAGGGACGTAGAGGGGACATGATTCTTAATAGTCACTGGTTAAGTTCCGATCAAACCACGAATTTCCAGCCAAGGCTAGTAACATTGGAAACTAGACCTCTCGGGTAGATGGCTGATGAAGTGCCGACCAAGTGAATATCTACTGACTATTTAACCCTGACATCCCCCAACCAGGCCGAATCCCTTTTTACTGAATATTTAACCCTGACATCCCCCAACCAGGCCGAATCCCTTTCTACTGATTATTTAACCCTGAAATCCCCCAACCAGGCCGAATCCCTTTCTACTGAATATTTAACCCTGAAATCCCCCAACCAGGCCGAAACCCTTTCTACTGATTATTTAACCCTGAAATCCCCCAACCAGGCCGAATCCCTTTCTACTGAATATTTAACCCTGACATCCCCCAACCAGGCCGAATCCCTTTCTACTGAATATTTAACCCTGGAATCTTCCTGATCAGGCCGAATCCCTTTCTACTGAATATTTAACCCTCAAATCCTACGACCAGGCTGAATCCCTTTCTACTGATTATTTAACCCTGACATCCCCCAACCAGGCCGAATCCCTTTCTACTGAATATTTAACCCTCAAATCCTACGACCAGGCCGAATCCCTTTCTACTGAATATTTAACCCTGACATCCCCCAACCAGGCCGAATCCCTTTCTACTGAATATTTAACCCTGACATCCCCCAACCAGGCCGAATCCCTTTCTACTGAATATTTAACCCTGGAATCTTCCTGACCAGGCCGAATCCCTTTCTACTGAATATTTAACTGTGAAATACACAATGCCATTTTAGAAAGTGATGAAATGTAACATATGTTATATTTGGGATTACACTTTCTTAGTAAAGTACAGATTCTAGTACTTCTTGGGTTGAGTCCCATCCCATCTACTGACCATTTTTAACTCTGAAATGCCCCGACCAGGCTGAATCCCTTTCTACAGAATATTTAACCCTGAAATCCCCCGACCAGGCCGAGGTATGCCAGGGCCAGACGGGCGTGTGCGGTGTTCAATCCACTGGGACTGGCGATCACGTTCCTCAGTCTGCTCCATTGTAGAATTCCACACAGGATATTGTCGGGAGGAACACACTCTGCTACACAAACCACGTGTCCCCAGAGAGGACAGGCCAGATGGGGTGGGGAGGATTGCCATGAATAACAGTAAATTCAACCCTCTACCAACACTTCCTGCATCACGTGTCTATCTGTACCTTCCCGCCCTAGTGAGTGAGTGAGTGAATATTCCAACAGTATGCCAGTTATACCACGTATTATAATATTAATGTGGGGTGATGTGGTACTGGCAAACCATACTCTGGGCGCACGTGGACTCGAATCACAGGATCACGGAACGCAACTCTTCACAGCGATATGCCGCGCTTCAGATAACTGGTGCCCGTGAAGATCCGGGGTAGAAATGGTCTTCAGCAACCCACTCTTACCACAAAAGGCGACTATGCTTGTCGTAAGAGGCGACTATCGGGATCGGGTGGTCAGGCTCGCTGACTTGGTTGACACATGTCATCGGTTCCCAATTGCACAGATCGATGCTCATGCTGTTGATCACTGGATTGTCTGGTCCAGACTCGATTATTTACAGACCACCACCATATAGCTTGAATATTGCTGAGTGCGGCGTAAAACTAAACTCACTCACTCACTCACTCAGATAACTGGTGGATCATACCTATCAGAAGGTCTGTGTTCGATTCCCCACACGGGTATTTCGTGAAGCCAGTGTCTGATGGCACCCAGCGTTTGTAAAAGTGGCATACACACTATTCAACTCACTCACGGCTGAATTTGTGACTATTCTTTAACTTAATCCAAACAGTATACATTACCGATTCATCACTGATATCGAGTGAGTGGGTTTGGTTTTACGCCGCTTTTAGCAATATTCCAGACACAGCACGGAGGGGGACACCAGAAATGGGCTTCACACATTGTATCCATGTGGGGAATCGAACCCGGGCCTTCGGCGTGACGAGCGAACGCTATAACCACTAGGCTACCATACCGCCCCCACTGATATCGAGACACAAATAACCGTGATATATCGGTGTATCGCTGTAGCCCCAACTATCACCTTATTCCGGCAGTGCTTGTAGGGGTGTTGGATCGTCTCCACCATGTAGTGCCTCATACACCGGTTCTCCTTTCTCACTGCGAGCACGGACACACAGGCAAAACACAACAGACTGCACAGCAAGGCGGTCACGTGAGTCCAGGGGCAGGTCGCCATCTGGTGGCTGGAATGAGAAACACACACTTAAAGTACATCGCGAATGAACAAATTGGCTTACACCATGTTAGACACTATTCAAGGAATACTTCAAATTCCCCTTATGATGTCATAAACTCAATGAGTGAGTGAGTTTTAGTTTTAATATTCCAGTAAGCTGGACGCCAGAAATGGGCTTCACATATTGTACCCATGTGGGGAAACGAACCCGAGTCTTCGGCGTGACGAGCGAACGCTTGAACCACTTGGTTCACTTTCTGAAAAAATACCCGACACCTCGACGCTCGGTCAATGCCATACTGGACACCTTACATTTCAGATAGTGGGATGCCAAAAGCCTATGGACAATGCCAGAGCGGACATCTTGCCTTCCAGAAACCGAACTGGTAGATACTAATAACTATAGCCTTTTAACAAAGCTCTTTAGTGGACCCCTTACATTCCAGACCGTCATGGTGGAAAATCATGGCCTCTGGACATTAAACAACGCCATAGTGGACACCTTATATTCAAAACACTGTCATGTTAGATACACCAGCATATGAACGCTATAATGAACATCTTCTATTCCAGACATCGACAGTGTGTACATCATCCCCTGGAAAACGCTATAGTGGACACCTTATAATCCAAACAGTCCCAGTTTAGACACCCTGAAGCATTATTTTTGTAAACTATGTAACAAAGGAGCCACTGTTTATTGCTCTTGTGGGTTCACTCGGTTTTTATCACCCAAAAGAAGCATTCTGTTGATGTAGTTTCCAGAGATCTGTCGACGTTATGTGCCGTAGTCTTAATCCCGCGTTGATGTTTGATGCCTCAGATACCACACAGACAGCATCGTGGCTTTTTTTCTCACAAAACATCAAAATCAAGCACATTGTCTTAAAGAGTTACTGCAATAGGTAAACAATTCGGTAATGGCGCCGAAGCAGGAAAGTCTACCGTATTATGTAACACCTGAAAATAACTGCGAAACCTTTTGTCTGCGTAAGAATGTGGCCGAGATATTTCTTTATCAAAACCGTCTTCAGTAACAACTCCTGACAACATTAAAAGTGTTTGTGAGGCTGCCGCTCGCTCGTTTGTCAGGTATAAATACAAGAGTTCCGGTCGTGCTGCTATATTTATTGAATGGCAGCCATTATATCCGCTATCAGACATCGGCTAGAGAGTACATGTCCCTCATTTCGCGCACCACTGAAATCTTTAAGCATGAAAACTCGTGTTTGGTTTTGATCTTGCATTAACCGGGGTACTTTCATGTTCCCTGATGGAAGGATGCTGGCAAATGGGGGACAGGGCTTGTCACTATCTATCTGCGTAATCTCGCTTCCGCTGGTCGTTACGTCATCAGGTCGTTCATGCTCGTGCAGCACGGATAGCACGTGACTTGTAATGAATGATAGAACTGCTTGCACCTGGGGTGTCATTCTGTTGAAGGTCGAGCGAATGTGGTGACAGGGTTTTGTACTTTGTTGCGTGGACAAGGAGGAACTGGAGGCTGGGGAGATTTGTGGGTTTCGGCTGAAATTAGTTGAATATGACGTAGTTAATGAGAAGTAGAGAGCCAAAGCGGGTCTATCCAGTAAATAGCAGGAACTCGAACTATATACTCCTCACAAAAAGTTAAGCAACACAAATTCGTAGTCTCATTACATTTTCATTTATTGAAATTGCAAATCATGGAATGATGCAATAGCAAGGTGAAACATATGTACACACGATTTACAAAATGAAATAAAATGGTATTGAGCAATAATAACTTACAAATTATCAAAATCATGTACCCGTGAAACAGTCGTGCAAAATGTACTGCATTGATGGAGCGAAATGTTAACATTAAGGTTCAAGTCAGTTTTGGACAGTGAAGCAGTGTTCAGTAACGCGAATGACCACCATGAGCACAAATGCAAGCTTCTACACGCCTTTGCATTGACCTAATGAGCCTTTAAAGTTGCTGTTGTGGAATGTTCTGCCATTCTCTCTGTAACGCCTGCTCAAGGTCATCCAGAGTCTGGGGGTGAACATGGAGACCGTAAACACGACTTCCAATAATGTCCCAAGCATGCTCAATGGGATTAAGATCAAGTGACCTTGCAGGCCAGTCCTTATGTGTGATGTTGTTGATCTAAACAACATTATTAACAACTCTTTCTCGGGCATTATCATCCATGGACGGGCATTATCATCCATGGACGGGCATTATCATCCATAAAAATGAAGTTAGGACCCGCTTGTTGTGCCAGAGGAATGATTACAGGTAGGTTTACACCTACCAGGGTGCATGTGTGAAGAGTGGAGCACATTCATGCCACACATTTTGCATGTTGTTTCTGAGGGTGGTTGTGTTCGGGTGATGTTGTCAATGCTATCAGATAAATCAATTTGACAGTACACTAAAGGTTATGTATTCTTTGAATATTTACCTTTCAGTAACATGTCGCAAAAATCTCTATCGAGTTTGATCAATATATTACACTGAAAATACTTGTTGCTTATTTTTTTGTGTGAGGAGTATATTACATTCAACTCTCACTGGAGTTGGCAAACCGTACGTTGCTCAACTGAAATATTACTTTTTGGAACAAATATATTTTCCAAGGAGTTTTTTTCCCCAATAATTATTGCAAGATAACTATGAGACTTTAAATTACCGCAAGTCCCTATTTTATCACACATGGAAGCAAAGTCTATCTGGAATAGAATTTGTGGATTATGTAAAGCTGAAGCTGTTTTCTGATGATGTTAATTACAGATCATTTCTTTCCTGTTTGTTGGTTTCACTTCTAGTGATTTTTCAGCTTGATTTCCG